ATCACACACATACATGCATCAAATAACACATAGCATACATTTACACATAGATCTACACATTTTCTAGTATTCTCCCCCATAAAACTCATAAAAACCGAAAAGGAAGGGGTATGAAACTCACCTTGGGTGTGGTTTCGGTTTTGAAAGGAAAAGATGAAGAAGAATTCGATCCTAGCAACCTTTCTTGGAGGATCTCAAACTTGGATGCTTCTAAGGTGCAAGATCATGAGTTTGAATGAATTAAGATATGATTATTGAATGAAAGGAAATAGCTAGATTATGGATCTAACATCAACTTACCTTAGATGATGTGTTTATGGGTTAAATCTCCTTGAAAGCTCCCTTAATCTCGAAAATATGGAGAGGAGTGGAGAGAGTTTTCTTGAGAGAATTGTGAGTAAAGTGTGTGTGTTTGTTTGGATTCGGCCGAGAAGGAGAGAGGGAGAAGAAGAGAGAGTGAGCTTGCATGGAAAGATGACAAGTTCATGGATGTTTGAAGTGTAATGCCTAGTTATCCCCCATAAAAAATGATGTGGCATGCAAGAAGTCAACTCTTCCCTTTCTCTTGGGCTTGGGCCGAGATTTGGAGAGAAAAAGGAAGGAGTTGGGCCCTTAAATGCCTAAGTCCAAATCATAGCTAATTTAGAAAACTATTGGCCCAAAATAAATCAAGTAATGATTTTGTTTTATGGCCCATTAGGGCTAATTAGGTTAGTTATGGCTCAATGAGGTTCATTTAAATATTTTGTTTCATTATAGGCCTAATATGGCCCAAAATATTAAAATAAATGAAAGTGGGTCCAATTAGAGCCCATTCAAGAGCTCTAAGCCCATGATATTCCAATTGGAAGCTTATTGGTCCATTGGGCCCAATAAGGAAGTCCTAGTCCAAAATGGACTTAAACAAGGACTTCTAGGGTTTCCAATTATTTGTTGACTATTTGTAGTGCTTGTATGAAGTGTTTGATTGAAATTCTATTGTCATAGAGTAAGCATCATGCATGATTTCATGTTTTTGATTCATAGTTGACATAAGTGTTGTAGTTACAAGGCACCAAAAATTTCTAGTTGTGACATCATCCCCCGTTAGAGGGAATTTCGTTCTGAAATTCTTTTGAAAGCTAGATTTTAGAATGCTAGAATAGATGAGGGTACTTTTGCTTCATTTGGTCTTCATGTTCCCACGTAAATTCTGGCCCACGCTTCGCGTTCCACCATACTTTCACGATCGGGATGCGACTTTGCTTAGTACGCTTCACCTCCCTATCCATGATTTCGACCGGTTCTTCAACGAACAGGAGATTCTCGTTGATTTCAATTTTGTCAAGGGGAATGACGAGAGTTTCATCAGCTAGGCACTTCTTTAGATTGGACACATGCAACACGGGGTGTACACTGCTGAGCTCCGTGGGTAGCTGCAGTCTGTATGCCACTGGACCAATTCGGGCAAGGATCTCGAAAGGTCCAATGTATCGTGGGTTTAGTTTTCCCCGTTTTCCAAAACGAATGACCCCTTTCCAGGGTGAAACTTTTAACTGTACTTGATCACCGACCTGAAACTCCAATGGCTTTCACCATCTATCAGCATAGCTCTGATTTGAACTATCTTTTTCGTGGTTTCACATATGATCTCCGGTCCCGTTAATGTCTTGTCTGCTAGCTGGGTGTCGCCCACCTTAGCCCAACACAATGGTGATCTACACTTACGTCCATATAGCGCTTCGAAAGGAGCGACTTTGATGCTCGAATGGTAACTGTTGTTATACGAGAATTCAACTAAGGGTAAGTGGGTATCCCAGGACTTCCCAAAGTCTATCACACATTCACAAAGCATGTCTTCAAGCGTTTGAATGGTTAGCTCACTTTGACCATCCGTTTGTGGGTGATAAGCAGTGCTCATGTCGAGATGGGTTCCCAGTGCTTTCTGAAGTGATTGCCAAAAACGTGAAGTGAACCTACTATCTCTATCTGAGATAATAGACACTGGCTCTCTGTGAAGCCTCACAATTTCTCGAATGTATATTCTTGTCAGTCTCTCCATCTTGTATGATTCTTTTATTGGTAGGAAATGAGCGGATTTCGTCAGTCGGTCAACTATTACCCATTTAGTGTCTAATCCATCTGATGTCTTGGGTAGCTTGGTCACAAAGTCCATAGAAATCCCTTTCCATTTCCACTCAGGAATTACTGGTCGCTGTAATAATCCCGAGGGCCTCTGGTATTCCACCTTTACTTTGGCGCAAGTAAGGCATTTGCTAACATAGGTGGCAATTTCTGCCTTCATGTTAGGCCACCAATAATGTTGTTTAATATCCAAGAACATTTTGTCCGAACCTGGATGTATGGAGTATCGCATCTTGTAAGCCTCACTCATGACTATCTCCCTAAATCCTCCAATTTTAGGGACCCAAATACGGTTCATGAAATAGTATACTCCGTCCTCTTTCACCTCGAGATTCTTCTCTTTTCCGCATAATGCTTCGCTTGTTCTGTTTTCCGCCTTCATGGCATCTGACTGGGCTGCCCTGATCTGAGTGGTTAGGTGAGATTGGATGGTTATTGAGAGAGCTTTCACACAATGATTAGAGTACTCTTTCTGGCTCAAGGCATCAGCTACCACATTAGCCTTGCCTGGGTGGTACTTGATTTCACACTCATAATCGTTTAATAGTTCAACCCATCTTCTTTGCCTCATATTCAGCTCTTTTAGATTCAGGATGTGTTGGAGACTCTTGTGGTCCGTGAAGATGGTGCACTTCGTACCATAGAGGTAATGCCTCCAAATCTTCAGAGCGAAGACCACTGCTCCCAATTCCAGATTGTGGGTTGTATAATTCACTTCGTGTGTCTTTAGTTGGCAGGATGTGTAAGCTATCACTTTTCCACGCTGCATGAGAACGCAACCTAAACCCTGATTTGACGTGTCACAGTAGACCACGAAACCATGATTTGATGCGTCACAGTAGACCCTGATTTGACGCGTCACAGTAGACCACGAAATTTATTAAATCTTTTATGGATTATCTAATCAAATTAAACAATTCATTTAATCCTAATCCTTAACCCTCTAGATTTCGGAAAAAAAAAGGTAAAGGATAACTTCCTTATTTTTCTCAATTATCCAATTAGGTGATCATTATCCAAAATTAAGAAACCCTAAAAATACCTTGTAAATTTCGAAATTCAAGGGAGGAGGCTAGGGTTTTCAAAACCCTAACCCTAATTTCGATTAGGGTTTATGGAGGCTAGGGTTTTTCGAAAAACCCTTTGAACCAAAAAACCCTAAAAAGAAAATTTGGCCTTTTAGGGTTAAATAGCTATAAACCCTCATTTGCAATTCAACTATTATAGCTATTCAATTTAAAACAAAACCAATTGCTCTAATACCACTGATGGGTTTTAGGCAAAATGAATAAACTAGAAAAAGAATTCCTAAGTTCACATGCCACCTACTTTTTATCTATGTTTTAACTATTGAACATATACCTTTGAATTTCTAAACAAGAACCCTAAGGAGAGAGGCTATTTTTGAAATTAACTAATTAGGGTTGAAGAGTTACATACCTTTCAATTTTTATAGAAAACTATCGGTAATCCTTTTGATCTTGATCTTCTTGGAAGCTTAGCACCACAAATGCAATGCTTCTAATGGAGTCAGACCCAAAAACTAGTAAGAAGGAAAGTTGAAGGAGAGAGGTTAGGGTATGCAAAAATCAACCCTAGGGTTTCTTCAAAGAAGGAGTGATCATTTTTGAGATCCAAGAGGCTCCTTATATAGCTGAGGGATCTAGTGTTTAGGGAAAACCCTAATGTTTTTTTGCTTGGGGCCTAAGCTTATCCAAAGGCCTTATCCAAGCCCCTTGGATGAAATCATTAGGGTTTCCCCTATAGATTTCGTCCACCCCCTTCCAAGGAGGTTCTGTAACCTTCCACTCAACTATTATATAATTTCAAACTAGTCCCTGCACTTTATAATTAATACAGTTAACCCCAAAATTAATTCTAATTAATTTCTGGCTAACTATTAATTAAACATTATCATTTCTAATTAATATATTAATCTTTTAACATATTAATAAATCATTTATATTAATTTATTAATCTTATAAGAAATTAATGTCTCTCCTTTCATAATTTGCTTGTCTGGTTGCTAGGTTTGAGGGCAACCCAAAAGGACTGTTCTCCTATCAGACTACATACCAATTCTAGTTATGGGCTTAGACACCTAATCCAAAAGTTGCTCCATCACAGACTACTGATGACGCTTCTTCTAAACCAAACATGAAGGTTCAAAGCACCAACTATCAAGTCGAGGGGGATTTTTCTTTGTATCCTGAAAAACTAAAGATGTTAATCGTGGCTCTGAAAAAATCTGTGTTCTCTAATGCAATGTCCAATTCATTTGTTGTTCCATTATCCTGGCTATCATTAGCAGGATCTACTGCAACCTACAGCAAAGCTATAGATGTGATCACCTTCAACCTGCTGAATGATAAGAAGATTCGTCTCACCAAGAAATTGTTCAGTCAAATTGTTGGTATTCCTAATTATCCACAATACACTAATCTTTCTTATGCTCAAATCATTTACATGTTCAACGAGATGGGTCATCAACCCCCACTCACCAAGATCAGTAATTTAAAGAAGTCAAATTGTCCGAGTGTTTGGAATTTTTCTTTGATGCTTGACTGGTCGTGGTGTTGGTTTGGACAAAGGACGAATGGAGGTTTATGTCATGGTAGTTGGGCTTTACTATGATATTGTTGTTTGATTATTCCACTCAAATGTGGAAAGAATTTCAGAAGCGTGTGGAAAATACTAATGTGGTTCAAGGAATCTCTTGTTCCAGATACTGGAGTTTAATTCTTCAATATGTATGTGATAAAGAAGGAATTGGAGTGCCAACTGATGAAAAGAAAGTTGAGTTATTGAAGTATCATTTTCCAAAGGAGGTTAAAGATGATGATGTGTTTACTAACATAGCAAGGATTCCAAATGCAATGTTGAAACATGTTGATCTAGTGAATCCAGTTTTAATAGAGTATTGGAAGTCTATTAATCCTGATGTTCAAACAGGAGTGTTATTGTTGAAAACAGCTGAAGGTCCTTCCAAAAAGTCTCAAAAATCCAAGAAGGATGCTAAGTCCACTCCTGAGAAGCCTCTTCAAGAACTCAAACCCAAGAAGCCTCTAAAGAAACAATCTATGGAAGAGGAGCATGTTTCGTTAACAGAGACAATGCCTACTGAGCCTAATGTTGGTGAGACAGAAAAAGAAGTAATTCCATCAAAGTCTGGTGTTTTCAAAAGAATCAAACAAAAATCTCATGGTTCACGAAAGTCACCAGAGAGGTCATCCAGTTTTTCTCCAACAATAGTTCAAAAACCCCATGTGACACGGCAAGGGGTAATCATTCTTGAAGTTCAAGCTCCAGTTTCTCCTTCATCAAAGAAACGAAGAGTTAAGGATATGGCGAAGCACATTTCCAAGAAGATTAAAAAGAGGAAGTTGATTTTTCAAAAAGAATCTTCTGAAGATGAAAAAGTTCCTGAAACTCCTGAAGCTACTCTTCCCAAAACAGTTTTGTCTCCTTAGAAGACTCAAGTCACACCACCCGAAGTTTCGTTAACCAAGTCAGTTCATGAGGAGGTTCGAACTTCAGACATCACTACACACGTACCTGATACGGATGTAAATGTCAACATGGGTGAAGGAGATTCAAATAAAGAGATTCCACTATCAACCCAAGGTATTCCTGAACACTCAACTATGGATACATATGTTTCATTACCACCATATATCATACCTATTTCAAACACCACAAATTCACCTACTTTCGAACATGTTATCAATCATCCCTTTACTACTCCTTTCTCATCCCAATCCACTGATTCACCCAAACCTGTTAATGAAACTGATAATGACGAAGGAGCGTTTGGAGGTAATTTCGAAGATCTGTAATTTGATGATGAAGAAGAAAATATTCCAGATCACATGTTGATGTCTGGGAAACAATTCAAGATTCTAAATAAAAAGTTGAATGCTATCATTCAGTCTTAAGCTCATATAAGGGGAAGCCATTCTGTGTCTTGTGTTGAAATTGATATGATGCTCAAACCTTCCAAAGCCATGTTGTTTAAATAATTTTCTAGATTAGTTCAAGAATCATAGTCTCGAATTATGGACAAGGTTGTGACAACCCCAAATCTATTCCCGTTGCAAATCCCATTTTTCACTAACGGAATACGTTAACGTACGATATTTTATGTAATATTTGGAATCGTTAATATCCGAATATCTAATTATAGGCATGTCCTAATAACATTATAAGTAATATATTCGTACGTGTTAGCCTAGTTTAACCTAGTAGAGTGGTATTACTATTTCAACCACTTCACCCGGGTAAAAAGTTTTAACCCCGTTAAACTTTAGCATCGGGTAGCCGTGTATCGGGTACAATACCCGAGACATATAAAAACACTTGAACACTACAATTGGACTCTTTTACCACCATTACATCTCTCTCTCTCTCTACTTTCTCTCTCTAGACCCGAAATCGACTCCAAATCCGCGAATTCTCGACTTCCAAACGTAAGGATTCATCCCCTAGCTTAATCTAATCATACTTTACTGCTTTTAGAGTCCAAAATCATGAGAATCAAGGACCAAAAAGGAGTTTACGGCCAAAGAGGCTTCATAGGCCGTAAACCCCCAAAATCATACCAAAAGCCTTGTTCTTCCTTCCTTTAAGCTTATGGACTAGTTAAGGCATAAACCTAGGGGACTTTGGACACCAAAACACAAGGATTTGACATGTAAAAAGGAGTTTACGGCCCAAGCACATGCTTAGGCCGTAAACACCTCAAACACCCCAAAAACATTTGTTTAAGGTCCCAAAAAATCATCTAGGGTGTTTGGCAATTTGGACTTGACACTAAGGAACACTTAAATGCATCAAACAACTCCATTTGAGGATAAAATGAGGAGTTTACGGCCTAGCTTAAGATTGGGCCGTAAACACCCAAAAATTTGTATCGAACAAGTCCCAAAACCCCTCAAATGCATGTAAGGATTTTATCTAAGGCCTTTGGAAGTGTGTTGTACAATTAAACTTCACATTTGGACACAAAATGAAGAGTTTACGGCCAAGGATATTCTTGGGCCGTAAACTCCCCAAAAATGTATGCCAAATTGTCCCAAACTCACTATATGGCCTTCTAGGATTTATCTAAGGTGTATGAGACTTTGTTGTACCAATAAAACATACATCTTGAAGGGTTTACAAGAGTTTACGGCCCAAGAACAAGTCTTGGCCGTAAACTCCCCAAAAATGTCACATATTATGATGTTTAATCCCTTAAAATGGTCCAAGACACACACCACTAAATCAAGGAAGTGAAATAAGACCTTAAGCATACACTTTGGAGCACCACTAGAGTTTACGGCCAAACCTAGGGAGTTTACGGCCGTAAACTCCCAAAGAATGGCTTTTGGGCCATAAACTCCAAGGGAGTGAGCTCGTGGACCCTCCCGTAAATCATTCATGACCTTGTACCACTCCCGGGAACCCCTTTTAAGCCTTAAAACCCCGAAAACGATGCTAGAATGTCCAAATACTATAATGAAAGGCATAAGATGATTAACTTCTTCTAAAATACATATTTCATAGGACATTAGGGTCCTAAGAGGTGCTCAAGAGGTTATTGGGTACCAAACGCTCAATCGACACTTTTACCCGATTTACCCGATTTATCCGATTTCCGCGATTTCAGGTGAGTTCATACCCCTTAATGAACCTTTCAAATGTTTTATATGTTTTAGGGGGGAGATACAAGTGGAATACACATGTTTATGAAAAGTTATACAAAACTATTTTTCAGATTTCGGAGTTAATCACATGTGATTCACAATCTGTAGTTCAAATCACATGTGATTTATCACTATGCTTTATAAATAAGTCAATTGTTTTCAAAATTATTTTGGGTTAACAAACAAGTTTTAAATGTTCCTTTCTTACAACACTTTTGTTAAATAAAATTCTTTATGAGAATGTAATCATACTAATATATTTATATAAATAAGACTTGAAAGACTTAGGACCGATAGCTCGCCTTATTTCCTGTTCTTATTTGATTGTGGGCTTAGGGTAGTGGTTATCCGTCCGACTGTCATTGATTTCTTAGTTATATATCTCATATATTAGTATAGATTATGAGTACTTCTTAATTCATAAATTACCTGAATCACTACTTGACTAGAACCAGATACACTAAATTAACTATAATGAGTATAGTTAAGGACTCTATCTCTAGCTTTCCACTATTACTCTACACTACTATAATTCTCTATACTATGAAGCAATACACTAATAAGAGAATAAAATACAAGTTATACAAAAAGATCACTACACTATAATACAAGAGAATGCACTAATCATGAGATAACTCACTAATCCACTACGGGATACTCTATACGCTATTCACTATGCCCGAAGTTTTCCGACAGGAAGACGACACTATATGTATAGATCTATACGGGGCAGACGCTATTACATCCCGACTGATAACTTCAATCCGAGCCGCTCAGGCCCAGGGATGCTGTTACTCTACTACACTATGCATGACTGGGAAGGTCATGGGGATTCGCTATTACTCACACTATTGGGAATATACTAAGAAAGACACTATAACCGCACTAAAATACTAAAAGAAAGATGAAGTAATATCCTGAAGTAAATAAGTATCTAATACTAAAGGATGCTGCACCACTATTACATACTCTAAGAATAACTCGCTATATTACATTACTTAATGTTCTGGAAAATATGGGATTTTCTAGGCTTCACCACTATTTATGATTTCAAACTTCAATTTTCATACTAATGACTCTAATGCTTTTTATACAAGTACTCACACTAAAACTCTTATGAACTCACCAGCTTTATGCTGATATTCTTTTCAAAATAACTTGTATCTTCAGGTCAAAGATAGACAGGTACAGCAGCAAATTTTTGGAGAAGATGGAGGATACAAGACCCATCTCTTATTTTTGTTTACTTTTGGTGTTTGTCAAACTTTACAAAACACACTTGTAAATACACTTACTATATGAATGAAATGGTTGCATGTTTCTTGCTTTTACTATTATACAATTGTGATGATACTGTACACTACGTCATCCACCCCGAAACGTATTCCGCCGTTATCGGTTTTGGGGTGTGACAGATTGGTATCAGAGCATTGTTTATAGTGAATCAAGTATATCAACCTATAAGAGATATACGAACTATAAACACTTCGGGACTAAAACACTCTGACCAAGAATATATACTGTTAAGTATCTAAAAGATTTAACTAAAGTATATATATGCACACATCACTATAAAACACAGAAGTCAGTATCATCCTAGAACCAAACAAAAGTATTAAGATTGTTGGATAGCACAATTGAGCTTAGAGACATATAGTCACATTTGGGGGGATGTAGCCTGATCAACTACGTTTTCCTGGGAGTGACTAGCATGTGCCTAAGTTTGGTTGTGGTATTGCAACAAGTCTAAAAACTTACCAACACTACCACAATAACGTTAACATTAGAATACTATAGGAGTATTCTGTACCTCTAAAAACATACATCTGTGAGAACTAAAAAGGGTCGTTACAGATGGAGCAATAGTCGCTAAATGGATACTTCCCGGTTGCATGTGACTAAGGCGTTATAGACTTAGAATCTGTGATCTTTGCTTTACTTCCTATTCCTTGTTTGGTTGTGGATTTAGAGTTAGGGTCACTTATTCGACGGACTATCCTGCCCCAACCACATGTAATTAGTATGCATTACGCAAGTATTGGTCCAACTCGTGACGACCGTCTTATAAGTAATTTAGGTTAGTACTTCTATTAATCTTCTTTTCCCCTTTCTCGCATAGATACCATGGCTGGCTTCCACCCTCCTGGCGACCCGTACTACCCAAACCAGGGTAATGAGGGATGGCTCAGTGAAGAGTCGGACGATGATCACCCAATCCCCTTGGATGACCACCGAGCAGAAGGCTTTCCGGATAACTCCGACTCCGAGCCCAAAGTTAATAACCTACCCCCTGGAGTCCCAAACCCCAACCTCCGTCCGACATTTCAGGGCCCCACTCCTATGTGGGCCATATCCTTGCACCGATGGAGCGAAGAGCAGGGTCAGCCCACGCCATACAATGGAGATCGAAGTTTCTACAACATAAACGAAGGAGGATCAGCAGATCAGGTTCTGCCCATCATGATCCGAAGGATTGCCAGGAATGTCGAGCAAGGTTAAGCTGCAATAGGTCGAGTTGTGGAAGTGGATGCCAATTCAAATCTCAACACAGTTCGCATCCGCCAACTCGAAGAAGCCATGGACATGACAAGGAGGACTAACGAGGCTCTGCAGCACTAGCTGGCTGCATCCCGAGCTGAAGTTAGAGAGCTCCGTGCACGCCAAAGGACTCATGATCGACACCTTCAAGAAGTTATGCGTCAGCTAGCAGAACTAAGGATTCACCCGGCAAGTAACCGTCGCCAGTAGAAGACGTCTAGTTACCTCTATCTTTTGTTTTATGGATT